AGACAATAAGCATATGGTAGCTGACTTCTCACATGCAGACAACGGCAGCAGCGGCGGCACGGAGCAGCTGCAGATGGTGGAAGACAGCACTGCATTGATCTGCAGTTGGGAAGGTCATCTCAGTGACTGAAGACTGCGTTTTGTGGCTTGATTTTTTTCTTAAAAGCTGGAAGGACAATAAACTAATGCTTTATGTCCCTGTTTCTAAAGAAAAGCAAGATTTTTTGAGTCCTGGTTAAAATAATAAACAGAACATAAATACATGCCAAAACCCCACCTGCTGAAAGTGACATCCTTAATTAGCACTGGAGTCTTTGCCTTTTTCCTTCTCCCAAATTAGTAGTGACTGATAGTATGACCATCAAGAACCTGATTAGCGAGAAGGTGTACTTGCTTCTGTTCTCAAAGCCATTTGTAGCAGAATCAAGTAGGGACCAAGTGCTTTCCCCATGACCAGTATTGCTTTACGATGGTAAACTTAATAATGAGGGATGGTCTCAGAGGCGTCCTCTTTTGGGAGCCAATACTGCTGATGCGTGGTTGGAAGACTTTGTGGCTAAGGCATAGAGCATTAATGTCACAGAATGCCTTTGAGTACAGTCAGGCCAAGTATGCAAATGTGAAATGAGTGCTAAAAACCAGTCTCCCTCTGAACCAACTGCACTGCTGCCTGCACTTGACTCGTAACTCGGTAACCATATGTTTATATTCCACCGACAATTGCCATTTAAATGTCAGTTTACAAGCAGACGTTGAGAACCTGCCTTTGTGCCACTAATGAAATCATAGAAAAGCAAAGTTTGAGGCTCAACACTGCATAGGCTAACTACGATGAGCGTAGGAGCAGAATCCAGCAGACCTTGACGCACCAGGGCGGTCAGGGTTACGTGGCACGGGCAAAGGAGCATGTACTTGAGGTCACCGTGACAGCCTCGGTTAACGGGCTTTTGCAGCCAAATAAAGCGTGCTGTTGGCATTTCCTAGTGACAATTATAATTGTGTAGACAATTCCAAGTTTTGTGGGACGGCTGGCAGTGGCCAGGATAGAGAGGAAATGTTGGACTGTAAAAGGAGACAGCTTTAAGTGCTCAGGTGCAGAAAAAAAGGACAAAAAATCTACTTGATAGGAGAACAAGCAAAATCTGGAAGGGTGGAGAAGGAAGCCGCCTCCCCTCTACCAGCCATTTGCATGTATTTAAAAATCCTTCCCAATAAAGTTCATAATGAATTTAATTCAGTCCCCTATGGCCCAGAGGAATGTTCTGAGTAATAAAAAAGTATTGCTAAGGGACAGATGACTGCCAAACTCCTATTCTGTGCCAGCAATGCATATGTACATTATTGGCACTTAAACACTAGGTTTATTCTACTACATAAATGATCCTTTGTCACATATTAGGAATTAATACTGTAAGATCCACTTCTGGGCAGTTACAATGACAATTCCCAAATTTAAACAATTGTTAAATTTCTATGCTTTATTTTTAAAGAGGTTTGGTTGTTTGTTTGTGTTTTTTTTTTTTTTAATATTGAAATAGTAGTTGAATGTGGCAATTCCTATTTTAAAGTGGTTTTATTCAAGAATCCTTTAATGTCTTTTTTTTGTTTTTTTTTTTATTTTGTTACCTTGAAATCTCTACATCAATGTTAAATGAATTGTAAGCTCCAACACTTACTTAAAGGTTGAGATGTATTCACTTACACATAGTCAACGAGATAAGACAAGGGCTCCTGGCTTCTGTTGGCACGGTCTAATGCACTTCCGATGATTAAACCGAGTGATTCAAACGTGTGTTGGAAATTTCAAGCACCAGTGATGGAGGTCACTGGACCACAACATTACTTTGTTTATAAACATCATTATTCCACAGAAGATAAATCTCTGCTCTCATCTAGTGTGTCACTTCAGTGCAGTAGTCAGGAAAATGGGGGGAAAAAAAAATGGAGCTACTAATTTTTTTCACTTTAGTAAGAAGGAGTGGAAGGGAAAGTTGGTTATGAGATGAAATGTGAAGGAGTTTAAATCCTAGCAGGCACCAAGCTCAAAAGAAAAAAGCATCAGTATTGGTGTAAGATGCAGTGTTGTTTACGTTCAAGCTGATACGACGCTGTTTAAGCACCCTCTGCACATTACAGCGCAACACAAACTTCTACAGCCTGTGTACAAGTTCAAATTGATGGCGGCAGTAATTCAGTCAAAATATTCAATATGCTAAGGTCTGAACATAAAGCTTTGCTGATGCGCTCAAATTCCGATGCACTTCAGTTTACTTCATACCTCCACGTCAAGCGTGAACAGTTGGAAAAAATCCTGTGAATCTGTCAGCATGTTTATTTACGTGGCGCATCTCCTTGGAATCAACAAGCATTTTTTTCTAGTGTAAAAAGGAACAATTACTCATCCCTAGAAAACAACAAATTTTTACAGCCATCTCCTCCCACCCCCCAAAAGACTAACCTCACTGCACTGTGCAAGGGCACAAGCAGCTCATTTTTCACTTGCTGTACACACAACGAAATATTCAGTTCCCCAGAACAAAAGTGTCTGAAGAATATAAGGGGGAATCTTAAGCATCTGGCCGTTCGAACTAAAAACAAAGGTCAATGGCAAAGAATTCAGATACAAGCAAAAAATCAGCCATCTCGGAGCACTGCATTTGAGCTTTAAAACTGAATGCACGCATTGTTTGCTCAGAGTTTTTTGCAGCAGCATTCATAATTTAGGATACTATTAATCAGCATGATGAAGTATCCTGTTTCTAACTAAGAACAAGAAAATTACACTATAGATCTTATTTTCTTTTCCTTGAAAGATATCATCCGGTAAAATTTGATGAGAATTCTGCAGACCTGGGTTTGTGGGTTTTGTGTTTAAGTTGCACAGGAGAAAAAGCCACAACAGAGCAGTAGCATCCTTTCGCTGCCTTTTTGCAAGGCCTGTCACAAGTCACTGCTCAGGGCTCCTTATTTTCTGTTGGTCAGTGCCAGGACCACTATCCCTCTATTTCTTATGCTGACAGCAGAGAAAAAAGTACTGAGGGCTAGAAAATTTGCAGGACTAATACAAAATTCAGATCAGCTTTTGACTGACACAACAGGTACGGAAAAGTGAGGTGAGAAAGCAGGGGAAGAGTAGGGCAGCCAAGGAAAGGGGCTTGGGATTGTGTAGGAATGGGAATGAGAATAAAGAGACTGTGGCTGAGGAGAGTTCTGGTGGTTAAAGAACAGAAAATGGCGAAGGTAAAGGCATTTATCACTTGCCTACTAAGAACAGCCTTCCAGGGCTCTTAATCTAGTGCTGTAAGTTTAAGATAAGCTACTTCCCCATCCTGCCAAAATTACTGTGACATTAAGTGATTACAGAAGCAAATGATCAAAAAGACAACTTTTATTTGGTAGCTCATTCAATGAGATCATAAATTTGTTAAAGTAATTATAGCTTTCATTAACAAAATTAATTTCTTAAAAAAAAAAAAGACATTTCATACCTTTTCTTTGCTTGGGGGTGGTGCTGGAGAGAATTTGGACATACCCTGTTTAAGCCCTGGCAGTATCAAAGTTACAAAAAAAAATTTTATTCTCTTTTCTGCCTCCCTTCCCCATTACATTCATGTCTTCCCACTAGCAAAGTACCATTTTCCTGGCTTGAAAAATCAGCGTGCACTATTTCAGAATTGCGTTCCTACAGCAATCTGTTCAATAGGGGCAGTCTGCCTTAGTCTGGACAGGTCAGGATTAAAACATTTCTGTGCTTCTGTTGAGAAAGGAGGCTAGACGTTCAAGGAGATTAACAACATAACAAAAGTCTACTGGAAGTGAAAACTGCGCCATCAGGACGGTCTCTGCTATTCTGTGCCTCTGCAGCGGGGAAGCCAACCTGCAACTTCTGCTCCCTCTGAGTGTTCACATAAGGCACGGTTCCTGCAAAGAGAAAAACAAAGTGGAGACAGTAAACTGGTGGCTGCTGTCTTGTGTTTCAGAAGTAATGCTTGGTGGGGGGAGCACTGGGAGGAATTACTTTGTGTACCTGCTATTTCGTGCAAGATGTCAGGATTTCCAGCGCTTACGTGCGCCAGCAGCAGTGCATACCAACGAGGATTTGAGGGCCTTTCCCCTGCTCCATCTCCTGCCTGGGAACAGAGCCTGCTCAAGTTCACCCACGCGTTTCCTCAGGGCTGCCCTTCTGAAGACGGCATCACCGCTGCAACCCTGGTGAATGCTGGTCCACAGAGGCAGAATTTTCAGATATCCAACACTTACGTCACCCCCGTTTTAATGCCATTAAGTGATGCAGCAACATGTATTTATATTTACATATAAATACAAAATGGTCAGATGGCACATTTTTAAGCATAATTTATAATCTGAAATCGCTGACACTTTCATGACTAGGCTTGGGTTTTTCTCATTTACATTCAGGATTTTAATTCCACTGGAATTTGATTTTTAAGAAAGCCCGACATATCTTAATTACCATAAAAAGATCCATACATAGTTTACTTAAAAATATCTTCTGTAAGAGGAAATTTACCAAAAATAACATGAAATATATTATTATGCATACATTTTCTTTTTTGTAAAGTACAAACAAGAATCTGATCTCTTCTGGGTATTGCCTGATCTAATATGGCTATAGGTTCTATTTATTTTGTTTTTCAAAGTAAAGGGAAAGACATAAGAAATGTAAGCACACAAACAAAAGAAAAACGCATTCTTTCCAAAGATACAGATATCAATGAAAGAACACTTCGAAAACTAATAAATGACAGTAGGTACAAAGAAACACCATCCAAGCACTATGCAGGCCTCTGTCAGAGCATGTGCTGCACTGACCTTGTAACAGTTACTAAAAACAACAAACAAAAAAATGCTATTGGCAGAAAAAGCTGTCAAGCAGAACATTGAAAAATGGATACTATTTCCTAACAAGTAGGTGCAGAACTGGTACTAAGTGTTTTCTGGGTTTTTTTTCCCCATGTATGCACACCTCTTTCTTCCTCTTTCTGTTGGCAGGACTGATTGTTGCAACTCTGGCAATATGCTGGATGCCAAACCAGGTCACAAGGATCATGGCTGCTGCTAAACCAAAGCAGGACTGGACCGTCCCCTACTTCAGAGCGTACATCATTCTTCTTCCCATCGCCGACATCTTCTTCTACCTCAGCTCGGTGGTGAACCCCCTCCTGTACAACATCTCATCTCAGCAGTTCCGCAGTGTGTTTCTGCAGGTCCTCTGCTGCCGCCTGACAATACAGCATGCCAACAAGGAGAAGTTTCTCAGGGCCAACCTGAGCTCCAGAGCAAGGAGCAGCCGGTCTCTACGCCCGCTGCTCTTCATTTCGTCTAGGCGCAGTTCTTCTACAAGGGGCAGTAACAAAGTTTTCTTAAGTACTTTTCAGAATGAGACCAGGCCTGACCGCAGTCCACAGAAACCAGGTCTTGAACCGCCAGAACCCAGCTTGGAAGTAGTGCCACTACAGACTAGCTCAGAGCCCAGTCCAGATGCACAAAACGGCCTTTGTGAACATCAAGTATGACTTCATAAGGCAAGGTTAATGATTAGCAATGAACTTAAAAACATGGAAATTAAAATGACTGAAGTATTGACTACACCTTAAAAGGAGTAACACAGATGGATTTGTTTCCAATTATGCAAAAAGAGCAGGAGTTCTGTATCCTGCTGCTGGGATTTTTAAGTGCACACTGGAAATTCAATCTGCTAACTGAATTCATTAGCTGCCAAAAATATCAGCCCCTCTCTCCCCACAACCACTGAACTTCCCTCACTGTTGACAGGGATTTGGAAACGAACAGAAAATAATTGCAGTGTCTTTGAAGAAAGGAGCAGACAGAACAAACTGTGTCAGCGCAAAAAATTTGCTTGAAGTTTAGCAAGAGAAAAACAAGAGAGCCAATTTAAGGAACAGAACAGTGGTTATCATGTGCGCCCTCGGCACGACGCCAGAATTCCCCCTCTTCTTCGGCCTGGGTCCGTTGCAGAGCGGAGTGTTGCAGCAGCTGATACAAACAGAGTTCACCTTCCCTGGAGAACAAAAGGACTGGTACCCGGCAGAGGCGATCAGACACGCTGCCGAAGACGCGCAGGATTTGCGATACATGATTCCTGTGACACAGAGCAAAGGTTACTTAGTTTGACAGGAACACAGTTTTGCTTTACAACACGATTCATGCTTGAAAACTGCTGCAAAACCAGTTTACATTTCCAAAGCAGCAATGCTGGTGATTAAGCCAGACACCTCAGCTGTGACACGGCTAACAGCTCTGCACTGCAGGAGAAGCACAGTCACTCTGGTTCGGATTTTTCTTTTATTTGATGCTGGTTGGAGCCAACAATATTACAAACTTGATTTACATAATGTATGTAATATCAAATGATGCATTTTATAACCACAATTCTTCATCTTTTGCAATAAGCTGTTTGAATAGCTACAACTGAAATGCAGTTAGTTTGAAAATGACTTTTGTTTCTGTTGCTGAACATGTCCGAGTTGTTTAAGGTGTCTAAGTAATTACAGTTTTCTAGGCTGTTAATTTGTCTTTTGAGCTTTCTTTTTTCTTTTCTTGTTCCTTTGCCACACAGAGACAAGTAACCAACAGAAAAAGGAGAATGACTGTCAGCAAACTTTTATATCCATCCCCACATCCCCCCTATTTTTTTAAAGAAAAGCTAGAAGTACTTTTCCAGGTAATCTCAGTTCTTGCTGCCTTTGAAGCTTAATACCCTCAACAACAAAACCTTCCATTTGTACAGAAACAGCTTTTCTGAGTTGAAAGTCTTCCCTTTTAAAATGTAATTTCAATTAATTTTAATTAATAATCCAATTAAATTTATAATTTCTCAAACTGCTTTTACCTGAAAAAAAGTACCTTCTGATGCACATGGTTATTATTTTAAAATGGTTTATAAAGGCTTTAAAATACAGAGATGCATTTTCCCCTGTCACAGTGGAAAATGGTTGTGGCAGTTCCACCTCTCGTTACTCTAAAATTTTCCTGCAAGTGATGCAGTAGAAATTGTGTGTTGGAAAAACATACACATAACACATAAATAGATAATGGAGGCTTGCTCATATTGCCTTGTGGTTACAAAAAGAGGTAAATATTTCTAAGGATGATAAAATCACTATTCCTTTTGAATACAGGATTCTCAAAAGTTTTTTTTCTGAAGGGCATGGGAACAGGATTCCCTTAGAGAACGGTGCCTCTGCATCCTGTAGCATGGTCCCAGAATGTTTTTAAATACAAAGCAATCAAGACTTTTTTTGGAGGGAGTGAAGCAGGAGTATGACCCGTAGATACTGAACTTACAGGACCTGCGGATACTTGTTCAGTCCCTGGGGATCCTGGAAATCCTACAGCACCTACGCAGTCCAGCAGATACTCTGCAGCAGTGACTGCCACTGTGCTACCAAGTGCTGCACGTAGCAGCAAAACACTGTTTGTTCGGGTTATGCTCAGAAAGGATTTCCTGTCTTCAAGTAATTTTAATTAAAGCAATTCTTTTATACTGTCACAACATTGCTGCCATCCCAACAATGCAGGGGTTCCCCTGTTTTGTGTTCTCCCTCTGCAAATCTAAACTCTGAAACATGTTTTAAGGCTATCTATCTAGTTAAACTATGAAGAGAAGCCCTCAAGTCAATGTTAAATCTTCCTCTGTCTCCAGTGAGCTTCAATCAATCAACACAGCAGGTAGAGCCTTTTCTCAAGAAGCAAGAGAAGCGACAGGCTGTTTTAGCTGAAACAGCAAAGGCACACAGATCAAGAGGCACAATCTTTATTACTGTAGTTTGCAAAAAGAAGGGAGCTCTGTCTCTGTTGACAAACCACTGCTGTCAAGGAGCCTCAACTGTGCTGCCGCTGATCGGCTTACAATACTGAAATCTCCGCTGATGTTTCCCACAAAGACCTGGTGCTTTGTCCATGTTCCTCCTGCAGTCTTCCAAGAGCTGGGGCAGACGTGACCCTTCCCATGGCTACGATTAGCTCTTCTCCTTCCCCTTCCCTCTTGAGAAAGGAATCCTGTATTCAATGGAACTAGGCACAGCGATTGTTCTCCCATCTCTAACCCCGCATCTCATCACATATTCCTTCCCTGCAGCTACAGCCACCCACCAAACTCAAGTCTTCCATATGAACAGCAGTGAATCTCGACTTTCCCCTCAAAAACTAAGCCTCTAAAAAGCTTTTGACATTGGCAGATGTCCTATTCCTGCCGTTTTATAGATCACTTCTTCCTGTCGTTTCCTTTTCACAGGATTCCTACAAAGCCCTGTTCACAATTTGAACTAGTAAGCGATTTATTAGTTTAGGTCCCTGAAATATCATATACTTTGCACTTTTCACATAGACTAGGAGACTAGAATTGTTCAGTGCTGTGAACAATTAGATAATGCCCTCTGAGTCATGGTTTTCACCAGGAAACTCTAGGAGACCTCTCCTGCAAAAAAGTGAAGTCTTACAGCTTAACTCCGTATCTTTACAACTGCTCTGTGCTCCAGGATAAATTCCACAGAAAAATTCTGAGCTCCTTTTGAAGTCAAAACCCAGTATCCCTGCATAAACCAAAATTTTACAGCTGAAAGTTTCACGCACAGATGGACCATGTTCAGGCTGAAATAGAGAGAATAATCTACCTAGTAGTAAAATCCCATTATAACGCTTCTCCTGTGGCTTTTCTGTAAATCTGTCTTACGATAGGAAATTCCACTCCCAAATGACTGTTTATTCCCATTCCCACCTCTAGTAATCTGAATTGTAACAAGATCCTTTACATGATTTAAAAAGTCAGCACTTCTATCAGGTTTTCAATAGCTACTTGGCTAAAGACATGCTCTTCACATCCAGGTTTTTTTTCTTTAAGTACTGATAGATTCTTTTGAGCTCACAGATCAGCTGCTATCGTACACTCACTGTGTTTCTTACAAAGCATCAGGTATGAACTAAAGTTGATCAGCACAGAAAGGCTGTGCTTTTTCTCAAATTCTGCAGTATCAAGATACAATGAAAACAGGTGTAGAAGATTGATGGGAAAAAAGAGAGAATGTTAGCACTACAGGAATGACATTTTTAAAACACTTCAGCCGTGACATCACTTTTGTTTTTTTACCGAGTGTGAAAAAGCAATGACACTTTAAATAGTATGAATTAAAGAAAGGCAGAAAAAGTGCTCTTAAACCTTCTTCCTATCATACTGTGATTCCAGTTCAACTGTGGAAGGAAATAAATCAGTAAACTGACGTCCATGCTTTGATGCCAGGGACACCACTATCCTTGCTCCAGCAAACAGGCTGATGTCCCCCAGTTACTGCAGTTCACCCACTGAGTTCAGACAGGGCAGCAGCATCCTTTCGGGATTATCTCTGGAGATTTCTCCTCAGACTCCTCTCTTGCAGTGGTTTATTGTACTGTTCAACCAGTTCTGAAACTATTTCTGAGATCTTCCTGAACCATTTGCCACCAGCAGGCTAAACTGCAGACAGTTCTTCAAAGTGGTTATCTGCCTCATAAGGCTCATACCACAGACATAACTGCTAATTACTGGATATTCTTGCTTGAGCAATCAGCTTGATACATTCATTAACATATCACCTAGAAATATAATTGCAGACCTTTCTGGGAGCTTTTCTTCTACCTCAGATTGTTCTGAGTTGCTGGCTAGGCCAGGAGACTACATGTTTTACACTCTGCTTTTACTGGGATGGGGTCATTGCCAGCCACCTAACCTCAACAGTTTACACTAGTGCTCAATTAGTATACTTACTGATATACAATTAGTAGATTTACTGTCCGGTCTCTTGATGGATGAGTACTGAATAATTCATCCTTTTTCATGCATTCAACAGCCCCCAAACAGCAGTGTGGATTATGCATATGCGTCGCTACTACAACGATGTTTTACTATGAAGTACCTACTACTGACCCGCTGATTTTTCTTAATTTTAGCTTCAAGGTTTTGTGAGGTTGGCTGAGGATGTAGTTCAAGTACTTTTAAGAACAGAGGGGAGTACACTAGGATAGAAAATCTGTGTGATAATGCAGTAGTATTCCACACCCTTTCCTTTCACATGCAGCTACTATGGCAACTTATTATTTTTTTTTTTTAAAAAAAAAAAGCTTTGGGCTTAAAGGAGGCATTGAAAGTTTACTTCCAGACTGAGCAACTTGGCCATCGTTACACCTCTCTCCGCCCCACATTTAATCATACATTTAGATAGTGTCAAGGCCCAAACTACAATTTCTGCAGGATTTCTGCCTTATTCCGTGCAATGAAGTGATGGTGTAAATTTCAAGGCTTTTCTGTAGTTCCTGCTCGTAATATTGATCTTCTCACCTAGAGCCATTCTATACACACGCCCCAACTGCCCAGCTCAACGCCCCCCGCTTAGCTGCAGTCTAGTCCCGTGTATCCACACCATGGTGCTGTTTTGGCCACATGCAGATGCATTCAGTCTTGATAGCAACAAACAATTAATGCTGCAATTTCTTCAAATCCAAAAGTGAGAGTTCTTCCATGTACCCTGTCTGAAGAGCGCACAGTACATGTTCTCTTGAATAACAGCTTAACTTGTTACTAGGACAACTAAAAAAGGTGACGTCACACCTACTTTTTATGCTGTGTGTATGCAGAAGGCACCAGAAGATATGAGCTTTTCCTCTTACTGCTTGAAAAGGACCGTATTAGGCACCTCTGATACTTCTGTTATAGCAGGTACAGACAAAAAAAAAGAGCAAGCGGAAGCATGACTCTCCAACTTAAGAGCCAACTATAATCCAAGCAGTGTGTAATTTCAGTTTGCACCTGTACTTTCAGGACTGTCCTTCAGCAAAATACAGAGAGTCTCTGAAGTCGAAATAGGCAACTAGGATACCACCTCTGAGATCAGTGACCTAATTTCTAAAAAAACCTTCCCACTATGACCCAACTACTCTGAAACCGCTATCTGCAGTGGCACACCTCA